TGGCTCACCGAAACATCTATCCTAGGTATGGCTTCTCTCACTCTTACACTGTCTGCCTTCTTCCAGCACTAGTGCTCCAGCAGCACAAGCCAGAATGAACATCCGACATGGGACAGGCCCAGTATTTGTGATGGTGACTTGGCCTGGCCTGCTTCCACTTGCCTCTCGTGTGGCTGATGTTTCCCAATATGTGCAGCTGAGATTTCTTGCGGCTGAACTGAGCCTTTAGATTGTGCGAGATCTCTGGCCCTGGTTGACTCCAGAGAGATCTTTAACTCTTTGACTTCTGTACCCAGGTTGGGTCTGACTGCTGATTTCACTAAGGCCTCTATTGGCTGCTGCAGGCTGCCAGGCCCTGTGTGCCTCGATTTGACCCTTGACCCTAGGCCTACCAACGTAAGGATTTTCCGAGGCTCTAGGACAGATTTTGGACCCTAGAGCTTCAGTCTGACCAATACCTACGACCCTAAGACATGTTCTGTGCTGCTTTGATCTCAGTTCTTCTTCTTTTTTTTTGTCGCCAAACCGAAACTTTATTTATCAACAGAAAGACCTCAGTTGAGTCAGTTCTTTCTTTCTTTTTTTTTTTGGGAAACGCAATGGCCCCTTCTATTCAGAGGGGCAACAGTCTGGTTGCTTATCACCGGCAAGCACGTTTGTACATCCAAAGGGGGGAGAGATCAGACCAGAAAAGGGGAACGGCCTAACCCTTGAGGCACTACCATCTTAACACAAAAACGGGTTCTGAGAAATCACTGCTAAATTTTCGAATAGAAGGTACCCTCGAATACAGCGTATGCACCCTGTATTCGAGTTGTGCCTTGTCTGCTTCGAATAGAAGGTACCCTGCAGACTCTGAAGTCTACTTCGCGCGAGCTCTAGAACTTCATGCAGCTGTGGAATCGATCTGTTCTTTTTCAACGGAAAAAAAAAAAACTCCACGCTGCAGCCCCGTCCTGGTAGCAGTTCAACGCGGTTCAACGCGAGTCATGTTCGCCTGTGTAAGTAGGGGACTTGTGGTAGCACCACGCAGAGACCCAGTCCATATACATGCTGGCCATTCATCACGTCCATATCTAGACAATATACAGGTGGTTGCATGTGAGCCATCGCATCATCCATCGTCTGCTGAGCTTCTGCCAGAGTGTCATCCCGTCCGTGGGAATAAGGGAGAGGTAGTGGGCTACTTTTTGCCTTCTTGTTTTTTTTCACGTAGTGGGCTACTTACGGGAAAATGTTTCAAACAGTTACTGCAAGTGAGAGTTGTATTCTATTCCTGATATTATTACTAATATTTACTTCTTTTTTTTTCCCCACACCTTAGGAAAGTTGCACCCTAAAATTTGTTCTACAAGGTGTGTACCTTGTATTCGAATACAAGGTATCCCGTACCTTGTATTCGTATACAAGGTACATACCTTGTTTTCGGGTTAAGACGGTAGTCGCCCGTCAAGGGGCGAACTGCAAAACAAGGAAAGGGTCCCGCCCCCCCAAAACGTGGGCTTTCTCCGCGGGCCACCCCGCTGGCCGGGAGGCGTACTAGCAGCACCCGGACGTGCAGCAGGATGGCCCTCGGGGAGGCGGGTGCAGGGAGGGGTCTCCCCTCCAGTTCCTTGGGCCGCCTATCAAGACCCACACGTCACCAGGTCATCACTTTCCACCTTTGTGTACCTTATCCTACTCTCATCCTGTCCATCTTGTCCATCTTGCCGTGTTTGAACCACCTTTGACAGCACTCTGCACCCCTCCTGTCCCTCATACCTTTGTCTTGGCTAAACTCCATATCTCTTACTATCTCTTACTATCTGTAAGCCCCTTGCTCTCTGAGTCCTATTTCAACCATGCCAAAGATCCTTTTGAAGTCCTATGGGGTTCAGCATAAGACCTCAGTTCTTTGCACTCTTGCTGTATCGATTTTGAGCGCCATTCCAAAAATTTCACTTTTCATCAGCTATGACTTCTATAATGCCCTGAAGTTTCTTTCATAACCAAGAATCATATCAGAAACATCCTTTCCTTTTTTTAATCTGTTTTCAACTTTTCATTAATTTATGCTTTTGTACTAAACCACCTATCCTCAGAATAGGCTTGAGACTTGAACTTAACCTTGTACTGCTTCTGCGGTCTGCGTCTTCCTCGGGCGGAGAAGAATCAATGTTCTACAATTGAGTCTCAACTACATAACCTGCATCCATAGACAGTGGAAACATGTGTCTACCGCTAGGAAACTCATTGCCTTTCGGCTAAGCCCGCGCAATTGTACGCTGAGGTGCCTCTTACCACCGATTCAATGCAAGACCGAGTGAAAACAAAAAGCTGTCTCTTTCTCCAAAGTGCACATTCCAGGAACTCCACAAGCTCTTACGAGCACAATCTTCAAAATTCATTGCTAAATCAGCAGGCTTGCAGATGACTTCAAGGGAGAACATATTCTTCGATCTTTGACGCGGTCTACAAAATAATATACTTGTAGAAAAACCTACCTATGTATGATAGGAGTTTAGATGCATGGGAAACTGGACGGGTTCTGAAATGTGGCGGAATATCTCTCACATAGGGCGGAGTCCCGCGGACCATCTTGATTGCCCATGACTTCTTTGAGAACTTCCCATGGACAAAAAAGTACACAGGCGGCAACTTTTGAGACAGTCCTACCTATACGAAGGATCAGTCGATTGGACCCACACTAGATCGCCTTCTACGAATTGGGACGTGCATTTGTTTGCTAGCTCAATCGTTTTTTGTTGAGCTTTCTTGATGTTCTCCTTTACTCTTTGAATATCTTCTTCTTGTTCATGAAGTACTGCAAATTCTCTGGGTACAACGGGCAGTAACCTTTGTATCTGATACCATGTTAAGGAATTGATAGGCCTTCTAGGTTGCCAGCCTGTTGCCAGTGTTGAGGTATGTTGTGGTTAGAAGCAGTGGGCCGTAAATGTAGAGATGTTGTAGTTCGCGGCAGTGGGCAATACAGGTCCAAGCACAGCAGGTTGGCCGTAAATGACATCACCACAGGTGCTCCGAACGAGCCCGACGCAGAGTCCAGGGTGGGTATGAATGAACTACTGCAGAGTGTAGGGTGTAGAGGGCATTAGTCCTTTGCCCTGCACCCATGCAACAAAGGGTGATGCAGTCCCCCTAGGACAATTTAGCTGATAAACATCATGGAGTGGACTTCTTTGATGCCACCTTGCCGCAATACAACCTTCTGCACGTGCACTCTCCGTTTATCCTTTCAATAGCAGTGGTGACCCCCGACGCCACCCCATGCACTGTCGCTCAACAGCCATATCTCCTATCTCCCCTTTTCCTTTTCAAATATCAACTCAAAAAAAAAAAAACGTAATGTAGAGATGTCTGGTCTCCAGTTTGCATAAGCTCTTCTCACCTTGCTGACTCAGCTGAGTAATTTCCCGAAGTCAACGGCGAATTGCCACATCCATCACAGGTCAAAGTGCAACTACCCTTGGCCCAGCTATGGAGCCTATGGTTCCCGCTTGCCGGACAAGGACGTCTGTAAGCCAACGCGAATCTTTCTACTCTTGGTCCTTGGCTCTTTTCTGGTCGCTCCCCACCTTCCCTTCCTCTCTACCGCTTACCCATCACCTTGTGTCCTCCATGGATCGCTCCCCTTTTTCTGCTTGGCAAGTCCTCCGAAGAGTCTTCCACGCTGAAGTTCATCCCCAAAAAAACACCCCCTCATGCCTCTACTCGAGTGGTCCCCCAAAAGGGGTCAGGTCTGTCTCTCTCATTCTCTCCCATCCCCGAAATGGGTCAGCCCCCCATCGTCTCCCCAAAGAAGGTTCCTTTCTCGGTCCCTTTCCTCTTGCTTCCTCCCTTCTTTTACACTTGATGGTCTGGTTCTCCCTCACCTTTTTCTTGCCTTAGAAGAGTCACCTCCCTCTTCTAGATCTGATCTCCTTCCTCTCATAGGCTTGGGATTACCCCTTCCATTTTTGCTCCTTTGCTTGCATGTTTTTTTTGTTGTACCTCGCAAGTCTGTACTACCTTTTTCCCTTTGCCCAAGATATTCCCTCTTTCATTTTCCCCTGTCCCCTACTTGCTCATGTGCGTTGTTGGTCCGTACTTGGGCACCTTTACCTTTTTCGCTTGAGCTCTTCCCTCTTTCATTTCCCCCCTTAAACCAGCCCCCTTTCCCTATTTGTTCATGCGCCTCGTTGGTCCGTAATCAGTCACCTTTCCCTTTTTGCTTTGGTCAAATGGAAACCAAACATCTTTCGTCAAATCACCTAACAAATCCGGAAAGCAGCTTTTCGCCTCAGGTTTCCCTAAGGGGAAACCCAGCCATTTCCCAAGGTATTTTTGATAAAAAAGCCTTAAAAAGGAAAGTTCCTTCTCTCAGCCTTCTCCAAAGGGAAACGACGATG